CTCGTGACATCGGGGCCAGATAATTCTCGCTGCTACGTCATCCTTGTTTGTCGGTAATCAATTTTAACTTAACTCCTGCGCGCAGTTGATTAGCATCTAGCACGAATTGCAATTCATATTCTATAATCTTGTCGAGTTGAGGAAGCCGTGAGTTTCTTTATTCGCATAATAAAAGTTTCTCCGTTTTTCCGTCGTTGAGTTTTTATGAACTACAGTTGCGTTTTCTTCTTTTCCGTTTCTTTTTTCCATTTTCCACTTGAAGCATTTGGCGTACCGCTTCTTGCAAATTATGAGTCGTGATCATCAAATATGTATGCTACTTTCTAATCCTGCTTTTGGCTATACTAAGTCACAAATATTTAATTTTCTTTTATTTGCATACTTGTACTATTATTTTTAGACCTTTCGAGAAATTTTTAAAAATATTCTTTATATTATTTTAATTATTGGTACAACAAGAGAATATGTAACTATAGAGAATAGTTAACTAAAATCAGATTTTATTGATCTAGAAGATAAATCATATTAATATTTATAATCAGATAAAATAGAATTACAAAAGGTATTGTACTTTTTACGATTCAAGGCATGTTTACTTCCGATTTTATCTTTTCCACGCGCGAAGAACTCGATTTTCGAGGAAGCGAGGCGGCGAGAAGCGAAACTTCCGAATGCGTCGCGCTTTCTTGCCGTCGGTGAGGAGTCTCGATGGAAAAAGGCGGCGGCAGCGTGTAATCCGACGCTTCTCGCCGGTTAATGAGCACCTCTGACCCCGTGGTTGCCCCGCAGAAATGAATCCGCGGTTCTCGGTTACACGAGATACTTGCTGGACGTCAAAACTTATCGGAGATAGAGTCGCGCGGCGTCGGGTTTCCGAGATCGTGAACGAGGAAAGTCGACAAGCCTTAATTTGCTCCTCTAACGGTTTGCTTTATCATCTTTATCGAAGATGATATTTCCGTCATGATGCCGCAAAGGTCCATTTGGCATCGGCGATTAGCGCTGAACCAAGATTAGGCCAGATAATCGATGTAGCTTCGCATACGAGCTGCTGATTTCGAAAGCGATATAAAAAAAGCTCAGATTTGAAGTTGAACATTAGTTTTAATCAGATGATCTCAGGGCGAATAATAAAATAATTATAGAAGTAATTACGAGGTGATAGCGCATTGATTTCTAGCAGGAAAATGGACATTGATATCACTTTCAAACGATTCATACGATAAACCTCGTGGGAGTGATTCTCGTTGAATAGCCACGGTAGTTTCCCGATGTCGGCTCAACGGCGACGAGGTAGATCGGGGTTTTACGATGAGGTATTTATCGCCTCCCCTCTCCATCTTTCCCTCTCATTCCTTATATCAGCTGTCTATCAGACGAATTGGACGATAAAAAGCGTCGCGAACGGAACTGTTGGCGGGACACCGAGGTGTAGAGATAATTCATACAGCTCGGTCGGAGGTATTCTTTACACGGAGGGTCCACGTCGTAAAAGGAATTTGCTTCTTGGTTCTTACGTTGCCGGCTGATCTCCGATGTCTTTCTCGTAATCTTCTCTCTTTCTCTCTCTCTCTCTTTGCATCGTTGCGCCTGACCGATTTCCTTCATCACGCGGTAAGCGATCTGGTGAGAAGCTCAAACGACATAATCACCGATTCGTTCACTCTCGACCGTGAAAATTGCCTTTTGTTTTTTCGCCGCGAGGAGGTTCAATTCTCACTTTGTTGCGTGTTCACGCGGAAAATCATCTCGGTTGTTCCATGATAATAACGTTACATCATATTTCCACTTTTGTGATCTCAAGTAAATGACTTTTTGATTTGCAATGACAATAATAAATAATGTTTAAATTATAATATAATGACGAATGGAGCGCATTATAATTAGCTGTATTTAGTTAGAATGTTATTAAATTAACAATTAATGATAATTAATTTCCATACAAATATTAACTTTTACATGCCTAGTTTTTACGTTCAGTTTTTATTAAATGAAGTAATTAAAGTTCAGAACTGTATTTCGCGTGAAACAGCAATATTAATGAAAGAACGGAAAATAGAATCATTATAGAACGCACACCCTCCTACCGTTTCTTTATTGATCACAAATTATCGTTTTAATTTTCGTTATACTAACAGATGGTTCTAATTTCTTTATTCTGTAAAACCGCAGACACCTTGTCGCGTCTATTCGCTCATTTTTCCGTCAGCGGCGTTTTTGTGCGCAGCGTAGCAGTAAATTGGTCGAGAATCGTCCTGCCACAAAAATTAGGGTCCCCTCTCGAAAAATCGGCAGACAGTTTCGGGTTTATACGAGCGCGGTTGGCAGACAGCACGTTCGCGGTTATATGGCCGTGGCGAATGTGCGTACGTGACGTCGTCGCGTCGCTCCAAAAACGCCGCTGATTTTTGTCTCTTCCCTCTTCCGGCAATCTCACGCCCCCGATTTTCAATACCGTTCACTACCGTGAATAGCGTGGAATTAATTTCGGGTCATTGATCGATAGATAACGGTTTCGCGCCAAAATAGAATTTGTTCACCAAAATAAAATTTTCCGCTTTAAAGATTCTGTTATTTTTTCGTAAAATCAAATTTGTGTTTTCTCCTTACGATGTATTTCCGCTATTTCGTATATTTGCTTATGTAACAGTATTAGAAAGACAGACCAGAAAGAGAATAAAAAATAAAACATACCATGCAATCATATTTGACAGAATAATACGGAACGGATAATATTAAAAATAATCATCTCAGCTATTATTAACGACAAATACTGTTCAATACTACTATTTGTATTCACTTCAGAATTGAAAATAAATTAATTTATTTTTATTTTACACAACAAGAGAGATATTTAAATAAAAACTCTATTCTACAAATCTATTGCATGTATTATAGATTTGTCTCTTTTTTTATTTCTCATTATATATTTAATAACAGGAAAAATTTAATTACAGAATAAAAATTTAATACTAATTAAATAATTAAATAATATGTTTTGTAATAAAATTGCTCGAGTAAAAATTAATAAGTATAATAAGTATATTGCGTCTTTAAGGTATTTTTATTCATATTTTCTGAAAATTTTGTGCGACAACAGTGTTCTTGATATGCAAAAAATATTTTCTGTTTTTCTTATATTTATGAATCATGTTTTATAAATTTTTGCAATATCATATTTTGAAGTTAATATCTTGCTGAAATAGTATAATAGTGAAGTGAACGATGTAGCTAACTTACGAGCTTTATTTTATAAGCTTCATGCATTGTTGCGTGTATTGAGAAGTAGTGAATAATCGTCTATTCCAGGATTAAATGTTAATTGATTAATTTATTCTAATCAATCTATTTTAAGGCAATAGATACGTGAAATATTGTTTTTATTTATTCTACATCTTTACATACTTTTAATTTGAATTTTTTAATATTTTGTATGCATTTGTAATATAATTGTTCACAAATGCATATTGTCTCATAATTAAAATAATGGTAATTTAATTATTACTCACCGATACATGGTATGGAGTTGTCATCTACATTGATCTGTAAAATAGAAAAATATTTCTAAATTAGAAGAATTAATATGTTAAGAACAATTACAGTGAACATCGATATTTTTATTTAAGATAGATATTGAAAAAACTATAATTTTTTATTACAATTTATATGTATAAAAATTTTACAAAATATATTTAATAAATAAAAATTTAATGCTTATATAAATATTCGACAAAATTTTATTTAAAGTTGTAAAAGTGGAAATGTTTTTTTTTTTTAAGTAATATTATTGTGAATATTGCGGAAATAAATAATCAGTATACTACAAGTAAAAATAAAAAATAATAAATTACTTATAGATGCTCCGCTGTTGCCCGATGCCCCCTGGGCCTCCTCCACCTCTCGGTAGTCCATCGATGGCTGCTCTTTTATGGCACGCACTCACTCGCGAAAACACGGTTAATTATGAACGCGCGACACTTTGTCATGACGACAAAGGAAAACTCGAAAAACACGGTCGCGCATGAGGCTACTATTCGACACATAACAGAGCAACAGCATAGAAGAGAAATCGAAAACAATGTAATTAAGTTTTCGCTTAACCCGTCGCGACTATGCTATACCTAAACTACTTTCCATGTTTTTCGTGTGCGGAATTAATATAAATCGGAATTTTGCTGTAGAAAATAATCGTCTAATATGTATCGCGATCACTATTTGAGAATTAATACGGTGAAAAGTACGATACGAAGAAACTTCTGCTGCTCTGGTAAGTTAATAACACGCAGAAACAGAGAGCACGTATGCCGTGACGTAAACAAGGAACAAAAACAAACCCTAACACTACATGTGAGTAATTTCGGTACTAGCATCGAAGATTGTTTTTCGTGATCTATGACGCGTGCGCGCGCTGTTGTCTTGCGTACTTATTGTCCTTGCGTGTAATAATTTGCTCACATTCGCAGGACGGCATTCGCGCGGACACACGGCAGCGGAAATAACTCTGTATCGTTCTCCTTATCGTATTGTTTTTCAAATCGTAATTGCGATTGATATTAAAAGATTATTTTCTATAAACAGTTGTTGATTCATACTATTTCTCATCTGCGGGAATCACGGAAATTTTGCAAAAGTAGTTTAGATATATCATAGCCAAGACGAATGGTAGCAAAATTGACTGCGCAATTTTTGATGTCTTTCTATCGTTGTTGCCTGCTGTGAGAATCAAACGGATCATAGTTTCATGCGATCGCGCTTTCCTTTGTCATATCATGATAAAGGAAAATTCGAAAAATACGCGATTGTATGAAACTATGATTTATTTGATTCTCACAGCAGGCAACGACAGCAGAGAGAAATCGAAAATTGCGCAGTCAATTTTGCTTGCCACCCGTCGCAGCTATGCTATGCTTAAACCACTTTCGCAAGTTTTTCGTGCTTTTCGTACATGAGATGTAATATAAATCGACAATTATTTGTAGGAAATAATCTAATATCTATTGTGATTGCGAGGAATAATATGGCAAGGAGAATATTAAAGAAAAGTTTTTGTTTGCTCTGTGACGTATTCGAATAGGAATGTGAATAAGGTGATAACGCACAAGACAACATACGCCGCGTTGTATATCACGAAAAACAAAAACAATCCCTGACATCGCGAGTTAGCATCGAAATGCGCGTGTCGTCAAGGATAGTTTTGTTTCTTGCGATTTACATCCTGGCGTACCCTCAGCGCGTTATAACCTTGTTACTATTCGCACAAGGACACTGAACCAGAGCAGACGGGAATGAGTCTTTTCGCTCTCCTTACCGTATTAATTTTCAAATGACGACACATATTAAAGATTATTCATTACAACTAATTACTAATTTGTATTATTTCTTATGTACGAAAAGCACGAAAAGTAGTTTACCTTTAACATAGTCGCGACGGATAAAACGAAAAGTTAATTACGCAATTTTCAATTTCCCTTCTCTGCTGTTGCCTCTGCTATATATCGAATCGTAGCCTCGTGCGATCGCGTTTTTCGAGTTTATCTTTGTCATCATGACAAAGATTGCGCGTTCGTAATTAAACGTGTTTTCGCGAGTGAGTGCCATAAAAGAGCAGACGTCGATTGACTACTGAGAGGAGGAGGAGGCCCAGGGGGCATCGGGCGACGGCGGAGCATCTATAAGGTAATTTATTATTTTTTATTTTTTACTTGTAGTATATTGATTTATTTCCGCGATATTCACAATAATATTACTTAAAAAAAATAAACATTAAATATTTTCCACACTTTTACAACTTTAAATGAAATTTTGTCGAATATTTATATAAGCATTAAATTTTTATTCATCAAAAATATTTTGTAAATTTTTTATATATATAAATTGTAATAAAAAATTATAGTTTTTTCAATATTTTCTTTGTCGTCTTAAATAAAAAATTCAATACTTTCTGTAATTGCTTTGAAAATATTAATTATTCTGATTTAAATATACCTATTTTTCTATCTTACAGATCAACGTAGACGACAACTCCGCTGTTGCACATCATGTACCGGTAAGTCATAATCATACAATTTCACATTACTTTTATATAATAAGATTTCTACACGAGGTATGTTCTTGATTTGCAATTTAGGGATATACTATTTTCTGCTTTCAAAATGTATTGCATTGTATATTTTGTCTAAATTTTAAAGTTTTTACATAGTTGGGCAATTATGTAAAATGATGAGAAGACACTCAAAAATATAAGCGAGAGAAAATTGAAGGAAATTAGGAGAAGTATGACAATTTCACTATGTTATCTTTTCTTGTAATCTGAAAAACCAATATATAATTAATTGTTTTAAATATTCTGCAAGATATTTAAAAATTATATACTTTTTCTTAGAGATAATTATGAAGAGTTCGTGATAATTGTATTATAATAGATTATAATAAAATTAAAGCACTGCACTTATCGTTCGAAAAATTACAAATTACAACTATTAATTTTTATGGAAATATTGAACACAAATATTAGTTTTTATGGAAATTTTTTAATTTATAAAATTTTGAAACATGTGATTTAGTGTAATTAGACAGTTTACAATATTAACTTTGAAAATAATTGCAAGGAAAGATACATAATGACCGTACATTTCACGAGAATATTTTGTTAATTTCTACACGTGGTTTAGAAATGACTTACAAACATACCACAGACACGCGTTGTTTTACTTGAAAGGAATTTTGCAACGTCATTCTCGAACCATTTTCCTGTCGAAACCGATGTTGTTTTCACGCCGCTCTCAACGATGTTGCCACGATAGGTACTCGTAAAATTATCTTTTTTGGAGGGCTCGTAGAGAACCAAGTGGTTGTAAAACCTGTCATACCTTCGAACCCCACGGAACATAGCCTTTAGCCGTCTGCGTTTGGTTAGCGTTAATTGCCAATTTGTAGGCATGACCGCAACACAGCCGACTGGACTTTGTTGTCACCACCTGTGCCTCTGCGATGATATAATAAAATTTCGACAAACAAACAAAGAGAAGGATTCGAAATAGACGTATTATTATGTATAACAATCAATATAAACGCACGGGTTGTTCGAACTATCATAATATATTTCCGAAATTTTTTATTATTCCTGACTTTAATTTCAATAACAGATTTATTATTTTATTAGAAGTAAAAAATAAAATAATTGATTTTTAAATAACCAAACACATGAGATTATTTTTATGTTATCGAAATATGATTTGGAAAATTGATGTTATTATTAACATCACATTGAACTTGCATTGTGACCATGCAATGTTTCGTTGTATGAACTCTATAATTTTATTTAGATATAAAAATTTTTCATAAAATTTGCAGTTGCGCCATCTGCATTTAGATAAGCGTAGATTGACGCGTCGCGTCAAAGCGTTTTTTTATTGCGTTTTGTTCTTGAAATGACAGAATATTCTATCGAGTAACGCGTGATGCTGAGCGGTATAACGTCGCGCAGAAATGTAGAAAGCGTGAAACGAAAGGTAATCGCGCAATTTTATTTCGAAAATGGGAGGAACGGTCGAGCGGAGGCGCGATCTTTCGCGGTGAGAGTGACTCTACCTAGCCTGAAAAGGATTCGTGACCGGAATTTTTCCATTCGCGCCCGGTAGATGTGAAGAGCCGATGACGACAAGGTGACCTGAGGATTGCCTGTATCGAACGATTATACGTATACTCCACTACATGTTTACGCATTGGTGGCGAATACTAAAAAAGAATCAGTTTTTATCGTTCGGTCCTCATCTCTACATTAATAAAATATGAATCTTGCCGTGGTCGAAATTTTTTTTTACATTAATAGCTTACAGTATATCGATCTCTAATTCGTTAATAATATACAAAATTGGTGTATAAATGTATGCAAAATAGAGATAATTTTATATGAATTTATAAGGCAGGAACACATATATGGCGTACGGTTTTAATCAATACAATATAAACATTTTTGAACACATTACACACTAACAGTCTTTTCGTACTTTTTGTTTGCAAATTCAGATTTTACTTCAAAATTTACTTTTTCGGGTAAAATATTACATGGTTTTACGTGGGAGAAAGATAGCGCTCATAATTTCGCAGGTTGAGGTGCCTGCAAATATTTGTTCGCGAACACGTATAAAGCTGTCAAGTGCTGGTCGATGCCGGCTTATGTGCAGTGTCCGATGAAATCGGTTACGAGGGGCAATCACGTCGGCATTATTATGCGTAACGCCGGCCATTATCGCGGTCGGCAGGTCCCCCCCGTGAGAAAGTTTGCGATCACCGCTAATGTCGGATGTGTGCTCTCGCGCCCGAGAGGCGCGCAGGCAGACCACGTAGGCACGAGCTGGGGCTAGGTCCTCCTCATACACATATATACGTGCCCGGACGTCTAGTATACCTCCACCTACCTAGTACCTACCTACCTACCTACCTACCTACCTACCTACCCAACCGAACAATAATAGCTATTGTACGGCGGCTTGTTAACGCGATACGTGAGCGAAAGAGGGACGACGGTCTCTACGCGTCGACGCGTCGGCACGTCGATTGACACGGCGATTTAATCGCGGATTCGGAGATTTGCAACCGGAAATCAGCCGAACGGAGCTGCTAATTCCGGACCGGTCGAGCGGTGAAACGGAGTTTTGTGACGCAACGTGGTTTGCCATCTGGCTTTATACGGAATCAGTAAAACGGCAGATAAATTGTACAGAAATTTATTTGCTTATCAAATTAATACTAAACTTGCTTCTCAAATATCTTTTTTAATATATCAGTATATTTTAATATACACTTTATATATATTAGAAATAATTGATTAAGACAATAATTGATTGAGACAAATTATTTTTCCGTAGTGAAAAATATAATTTAATTTTTAATGCTTATTTTTAATTCAATATTTTTCATAGTATTTTATATGCACAATGATTGATTATACACTTTCAGTATGCACTAAAATTTTATCGATTGCACGAAATCCCTTTATATGGTACATCTTGCACGAAAATCTAATAGTAAACTACGAACGTTTTCGCTGAATTTCACGGATAACCGAATTACGGCACGTTTCATCAGCAGACCATTAATTTCTGCTATGTCGAGAACTTTGTGAAATCGTCGAAGAACATGTACTTGCGCTTGACGCTCAGAAACGCGGGAATTCGATGATTCATTCCACGAACGAAGGAAATGCTCGACGGTGAGAGGCGCGTAGGTGAAGGCGAAAGAATGAATGAATGAACGCAAAGCGGAAGCGAGTGGACGCGCGTTTGTCACACGGCAGCACGCCTTGTATACAGAGTGTTTCGGATTAATACGGAATTAATCAATTTTGCGAGAGTAACTTTTTCCCGTAATTAACTTTTTTCATATCGTTCGTTTTTATACAATTGAGTAACATATGCAGGCAACGAATAATTATTTTTATTTTTTTTATTAACAAGTAAATGAAACAGAACAATATACAAAATTTTTTCAATAAATAAGGAATAGTTTTGGAACAAAATTGGCCATGTGAGTAAAATTCTCTGCGACATTTTTATTTTTATCATCGATTATCAAACACCCTATACATACTTGTTTGTACTTGCGTGCATGACTACGCTGAGCTACCTTTCCCGATCGACGAGACGCGTTTTCCTGTACCGACACCGGACGTCCGGCGCGGTCGACGGAATAGTAATACGCAATACAGACGGACATAGATAGCCACCTGTATACCTATGCGTTCATTCAGGATTCCCTTTGTACGAATTGATACGATCGCGTCTAATGTGACAGAGTTGTAGAGACGATGGTTATAAAAAAAAAAATAAACCTATACGTGATTCACTAATACACACATTATTGTCATAACTAATGATATTATTTCTCTAATATAATCTTTAACAAACCATTTAGAAATAATATTATATTAAAAAGTAAACGGTTTTTCTGTGCGTATTTTTAAACTTTTAAAAGCAATTAGAATGGATTGAAATTGGATAAATTATTATTTTTCGGGTGTTTTAGTCAGAAATTAATTCTTGTAGCAGACCCTTTTGTATGGTTTAATTAATCGAGAAGGGATGTAGAGACAGACAAGAATTTCGAAGACTACAAGTTTCGGAGTTACAATTCCCTTACGATCGTTTCGCATAGGGGAAGGTTTTTGGCGAAATAGCAAGTCTGCGCGGTCCGATAGATACGATGAAATTGTTTAATAACGGATGAAGCTTCCGGGCGTCGTTTATAGCAGACCGGATGATCCGCTGTCGCGTTTCCGCACCGATGCGACAGAACGAACGAATGCAGGCGATCCGCTCAGCCGACGACATTGTGCAAAATATCATTGTTTGATATTGCGCATTGCATTGGTGGGAGGAGGGGAGGGGGAGGAAGAAAGGGTTACCAGTGACCTATTCGTTTCCGGTGACACGGTGGAATTTCGATAATTGAGCCGGTAAAAGGGAAACTATGGAAGCCTGAAATAAAACACTCACGAGTGTTTTACCGTGTAACACGCGTTTTTTGACAGAAATTACTTATCGCCAAAATAAAGGGAACAATAATTGTAACATTTAGACATTATTACTTAATATTGAATATGAATAAAAAATAGGTGAATAATAAATCAAAGTGATTAGGAGAATTATATTGTAGTCTATTGTAGATCTCTGAATTGATACCAAATATTTTGAAGTAATTTATTTGAAGTTTATTTATTGCTCATCTTTAAAAAAATTAATTGCATAGGAAATGTTCGAACTGCATCATTGATATTGAATGTTCAATTAGACATTTTTCAAAGTAATGTTAGTCCGGAAGGCAATCGATTAACTAAACATCCATTATTATCGGAAACGGACATTATTAAATATTCACACAACCCGCAGTTTATAGCGCTTGAATAACGAAAAACGAAATCGCAAACGACGGATAATTAACGACGTACACATTTGGCTCTCTTTGTCAGTTTTATTACTATTTTAATGCCGGCCGAAGCGTTGGTCATCAATATTCGCCAGCCTGTGTCGTTGCTCGCGATTTACC